AAGAAGAGAATGAAATTTCCTTTTACGATGATATCATTTCCTAAAGTTGCACAATCGTATTTATACATATCATAAACATATAACAGTCTATTATTAAACACTAGTGGTATATAATTGCATAATTAAGCCAGCTAGTGCTAAAAAACCGAAATCCAGAATGGAAAGTAGTTGCATGATAATCTTTTAATCAATAGAAATCACGAGGAATGCGAAGAGGTCGACGAGGTGAAAATTATAGGTAGATGAGAAATGCCAATATTGAGTGTTCTCTCAACATCTATGCCTATATAACTAGCTCTGCAGGAGCAAGTAAATTTGTAGACACACATTGAGGTGGCTTAAAGCGGCAACTTGTCCTTAACGCACTCTGGAACAACTGTTAACTGCAGAAGCTGATCTGTAGCTTCACAGAGACGCATGTCTTCTTCAGAGATCTGGATAACCGATTCCCCAGGAGCAAGTGCTTACAGTTCCAAGGAAGACCTAGTTTATGAACGTTGGTTTCAAAGGCGATACGGCAGCCAAGATCTTGAAGAATCGACTATCCAGATCGATGAGGTGAATATTCTTCTATATGAAGCTATAAATCAGCTTTTGTGGTCAGCAACTGGTTCCAGAGTGTGTTCAGGACTAGTTGCCACATTGGGTCACCTCAGTAAGTGTCTACAAATTTACGTGCTCCTTTGGAACTAGTTATATAGGTGGCACAAAGCGCTCACTTTCCAAACGTGTCTCTGAGCACTATCCTGCATGGTTGTTGAAGGGAGAATGTACATCAATTAAGAGTTCAATTCTTGAACATTTGGTCAACTCTGGACATATAGCTCCACCGGAGACCTCATTTAGTGTCATTTATGAAGTGAAATTGAATAGTTCAAAAGGAATACACCATCGACAGTTGTGCACAGCGGAAGCACTGGCAATTCATCAATTCAAACTTGATCTCTACCTTCAAAAGAAGTACGTTCACTGTCTTATCTTACCATGGTCTTAACACTTTCACACTTTTCGATTCCATTATAATTAGTTAGTTTATTATTATCACTTTCATTATGATCCATGTCTCATCCTTCACCTTCTTTACATCTATATACCTATCAAGTAGACGCTCAACATTCGCATTTCTCATCTACTATAATTTCACCTCGTCGACCTCTTCGCATTCCTCGTGATTTCTATTGTTTAAAAGATTATCATGCAACTACTTTCCATTCTGGATTTCGGTTTTTTAGCACTAGCTGGCTTAATTATGCAATTATATACCACTAGTGTTTAATAATAGACTGTTATATGTTTATGATATGTATAAATACGATTGTGCAACTTTAGGAAATGATATCATCGTAAAAGGAAATTTCATTCTCTTCTTTTCTCTATGATTGAATGGGGATGTTTCATTGTATTAGGTCGGATTTGTTTCATATCAAAGAAGACAAACCGAATATCATTCACAAAATCAACTGCGATAACTGTAGTCAACACCACATCGAACAAAGTGGTCACCATCTCCACCTTCGTACACAAGAACACCAATTGACTGTTAAACGTCTCACATGACTTCATCACTCATTCCAATCATCATCATCATCATCATTATCAACATAGGACCAGGCATTACTGCGTAACGGTCCGAGTTGCCACACCTCATATCAGCACATCAAGTAAAAAGGTAGTGAGGTGAAGGATGAAGATAAGTGAATGCAGTCAAAAGAAATATAAAGTACGAGAAGAAAGGAAAGAGGAGTGACAAAATAGTGAGATTCGGTATAGCGTTGTTAAGATGAGGATAATGTGTGTATACATCTGCGCCACTGACTTCGGTTCTGAGCCATATCACCTAGGGTCTCCAACCACTGGTTCCTCTTGTCCCGTGGACCCCAACCACCTAGTCTGCATCGTCCTACATGGCTTAAACCAACAGTCAGAGACTTCATACATTGGTGCCATGTTTTAGTCTGGCCACCTCGGGCCTTTTTCCAGCCTGAACCCACCTCAGCCAACATTGTGTGACGAGGCAATCGGTGACTAGGCATACGTAGTACGTGTCCCAACCATCTCAGTCGATGAAGGTTCACAACCTCGTCAACTGACTTACCTCTTCTCCCCAAAACTCTACACCTAACTTCTGCATTACTCACATGGTGACACCACGGAATACGTCCTATACTACGAAGGCAACGGTGGTCAAACACCTGAAACCTTTTTGTATCCTCCACTTTCAATGGCCATGTTTCACAGCCATACAGTAGAACAGAGCGGACTGCTGTGCAGTACACGCGACCCTTAATAGACAAACGAATATCACGGCGGCGCCATAGGTGGCGCAAATTGGCAAAAGCCAATCGAGCCTTTTGTATCCGTGCAGAAATCTCATCGGCAACTAACCCACCGGGGTTGATCCTACTTCCCAGGTAAGTGAAGTGGTCAACACACTCAACCACTTCACTCTCTATTGTTAACCGCGGTACCGCTGAAGACCAGTCCTGGAGCAAAAATTTGCATTTGGGTGGTGAAAATCGCATCCCAAACATTCTCAAATTCCCACTCAAAGTGTTCAGAAGACTCTGCATCTTGTCAGCGTCTTCACCTAACAGGACTATGTCATCTGCATATTCTAGATCTAAGGAAAATTCACCTGTGATCCGGTCAACGTCTTTGTAATTAGGTGACGAGAGGGAAACCTCCATAAGAATATCTATGATAAAATTAAATAAGAATGGGGATAGTGGGCATCCTTGACGGACACCACTTGATGAGTATAGCTCCCTGGACAACTCACCATAGGCTCTAACATGCCCACAAGTGTTCGAGTAGAGAGCTTTCAATAAGGTGATGTACTTACTAGGCACGCCTTTCAGTGACAGACACTGCCATAAGACTTCTCGATCAACGGAGTCAAATGCCGCCTTCAGGTCGAGAAATACAGCTATTGTCGGGCGTCTGTAAGCATGCCTATGTTCCAGGACCTGGCGCAGTGTGAATATTTGGTCGATACTCATTCCAATACACGTGGATAACAAATATGGAGATGAATTGAATGTTGACAATGTAGAAATGTTGAAGGGAGAGAGAGGAAACACAAAGAATATCAGAGACTTCCTAGAATCTTGGCATTCAGGTCAGTCAGTCAGCAATCCATAAATGTGTAGACATAGACCCAATGTACCAAATAATAAGGAAAATGATAAACGATGAAAGGGTCAGAAGTCAAGTAGAAGAACAGGTTACAGGGAAATCTATGCAGTCAACGACATAACAATCAGAGGAAACAACCAATCACAAACCAGTTCATCAGGTCAAGTTAATAAACCACTCATGGTGAGATACTGATAGGTCACTTAATCCTGAAGTTAGTGTTGATGATGTCGTGTAGCGAGATGATGAAAGTCCCACGACTAGACAACTCAGTTCAGAGAACACAATACAACCAAGACCATCTACCTAAGCTACAAATATTCTCCATCATTTCAATATTTGTGTCTCAAGCATACTTCATTAGGCTTCTCTTTTGGTCGATATTTTCCCTCTCACTAGTTGATTTTTGAGTATATTCAGTCTATTCTTATCAGATATGCATAATCAAAATAGTTTTATGCAGTACCGGTTAGAACGGAGTGGAGAAAACCAGTTTCCTTTGAATTTTGATTAGTATTAGCAAGTATACGATTTCGCTTCATGATATTTTGCTAAAACTTTACGTAATATTCTCCACAAGGCTAAAATTAATGTGGGAATCGGAGTTATGAATTGACATAGAGCTAAACTTTGTTATGTGAAAGATCCTGTTGACCCTGTTATACAAAGTAGTTTAATTTGTTAAATACTATACAATAATTATGAAGTAAAATACTTACATCAAGCCAGACGATGGTGATCAGTCAGATTATTGGGGTTTAGGAACTTAACTGAATTTAGAATGATGAACTCAAATCAGATTAGTAATATAGGGGAAAATACTTAGCTATCGCAATACATACACTGACGTAACCATACAGTAGATTGGAACAAAGCAATGGTAGACAGAGAGAGGGAGATATGTTTATTATGTAATCTTCTTACATCCAATCAACGCCCAATGAATGTAACAGGAATGATGCAACACTTATTCCGCAGAAGTGAAAAACTTGACTGCCACTGAAAACAGAGAATACAAGCTGACAAAATTATGGGAAAAAAATTATCGAAAGTTATCTGATTACTTTGATATGATTATAAGCAATAATCTATACTCGAAACATCATTCAATAAATAATACCGTATAACTGTGTGCTTTATCAAATTTTTTTAAAATCTAACAAGGAATTACGTTCTTCTACCCAAGTTTTACGCTTATATTTATTTTACATTAGTGATAGATAGTGGCTAGCAGTGGAATCTAGGACACTCTCATCTCATCAATTGAATGTACCTACGCCTTTCCCCAGTGAACAATGTTGTTTCCACTAAGATTGAAACGTGAGACCACCAACTCCGACTGATCATTTCGGTTCAGTCAATGATGGGATAATACAAGTAACAATGTAAAAACTTACCCATTGCACAAGAAGTGGCTATGATGACTCAGTGGCCTAATGGATAATGGTCTAGCATTTTAAGTGATTGACCGTGATCCCGAGTCTCAGTGGGAACAACATTGCTCACGTGAGGTGGGGCGTAGGTACATCCAACCGACGAATCTGAAATAGGACGAAACGCGTGTCCTGTATACCACTGTTAACCACTATCCATCATTAATGTAAAGTTAAGACGATAGGCAATATCCAGGCATCCATTCATGAGTTTATAAGCCAATAGAGACTGATCAATTAGGTTCAATCAACGAATGCATAAGGTAAGTAAGAAAATATATTGATTGATTGTAAAATTTTATTCGATAGTTTTTTCTTCATTCAGAATTAATTAAAATTTATTACTTTGTATGCATATTTGACAAGTATCAACTATTGTACGCATCTTAAAGTGTTCCTTCTTTTTTTCAACTTAATTTCTCATCTATTCAGCTTCCATTCAAACATTACCAGATCAAGAAAGTATTGAGAAACTTACAAAAATCCATGAAGAACTACAATCTATGTATTCGCCTTTAGCTGCTCAACATGCCGCTCTTCGTGAAGATATTGCTCGTGTTGCTGCAGATATTCTCTATCAACCGCAATCAGATAAAGAAGCTGAAATCTTGAAAATAGTTGGATTGAAACATTTATGCAGAAATGGTAATTCAGCTTCAACACCTGGTGTAGTCAGACGAGCAAGTATTACATCCACGCCTACACCAAGTGAAAATTCTGATGTTACTACAAATGGCTTAGATAATCATAACAATGATGTCTATGAACCTGTTGTAAATAAAGATATACTTAGAGTAAGTAGATATATAGAGTTCTACTGTGTATATCATTTACCTTCTAGGTATGATATTGTTTTTCAGGGTCCTACTAGTTGCATTTTACTTAATATATAATGTTTTGCTTGTAAAAAACAGTGACTTTCTGAGTTTCCTCTTCAGAACTTTGATGTTATGGAAAAGAAAAGATGGCGTTCGCTTTTATTTCTTGCATCTTTAAATAAATGTGTTTAATTTCAATGGTAAGGTACAAATGTTAACAAAAATATTCAATGTTCAATCTTCACCTTTCGATTGATGTGATATTTGCCTCAAAAATATTGTAAACAATTCAAAAAATAACCTTATCAGATATATAGGAGTAACATGAGAAGTGTTATTACCATTCCGTATTCTCTATGATCAGTTTAAACGTTGTATTTTTTGTTTGTTTGTGATCTTCGGTATTTCAATTTTCAAGTTTATGGAGATTTAGTGATTTTCCAAGTTGGTATACATCATGAACTGATATGAGTTGGCGGAACATTGGAGATCTAGAAGCACTGGACAGCTGTTTCGTCCTAGTATGAGCCTCCTCAGCGACGCGCACTGATGACCTCTCCAGGGATCCATGAAGCAAACCTTGGTGGACGTGAGGACAGATACTCAGTGATGACATTGAGTGATGGTCGCGCTTTATCGTGAACTGACATAAGTTGAAAATATGGACCATTGGATTCCAACCCAGTGGCTTAGTGGTAACGTGCTAGCCATGGAACCCGAAGGTAGTGGGTTCGATCCCTGAGGTGCGAGGCCACGGGTGCACACTGCTGAAGAGTCCCATACTAGTTGTACATTTTCACAACTATTTCGTTGAAAATTTTTTTAAAATATTTTTACAAATCCAGAATTCTTGAAGGTTTTGATTGAAACGAATCTTGAGGATGAAGACAAAGCGCCAAAACTTGGTTCTTTTTCCATATTTGTCTCCATTTCTTTTCACTTCAGATGCTTCGTTTTTCGCTTGTTGATCCATGTTTTCTGCGCATTTCCCACCATTTATGCCTTATAACATATACACTAAGGTATGGTATATCTATTATCTTTCGAAATACTTTTGTGACTGAAAGCTTAGGGAAGTTTGCGAAATACCTGTGTAAATCTGGAAAGTATACAGAAACGGTTCTAGGTATCATTTATTACAGATTAACATCAAACTATATTCATGTTGGCAAAATGAATACGACTGTGTATAAATTGTCCAGTGCTTTATCCTCCAAAGTAATGCAGAACGTTCTAAATTCTGAAATATGCTATTCAACAATACACTTTGATGATGTTCAGCTCAACTTCTCTTACCATATATTGTCATTGAAGTTAATATAAATGAGACCCACAATAAGTGAGCTTGGTTTTTAGACTTTTTTCCTTCCACTTTATTTCAGCTGTTTATTCACAAAATTCAGGTTGACATTTACGTCTAATGTATATATATATATATATATATATATATATATATATATATCCATATGTGTGTGTGTGTGTGTGTGTGTGTGTGGAAACTTGTTAATTAGTTGAGAATGACACTCATACGTAAACAAACTGTATATTAGATTGAAATATTACTTGATAAAAAATACATAACATTACTACAATAATTACATATTGTTGATAATGGTATCTTGTTTAATTATTTGTGGACAAATACACCATTTGATTCAATACAACTAATTCGATAGGAGAGTCTTCTAAAAACTTTATATCAAAACAGTGTGGCAACTGTAAGCATCAGTAAAAAGAAATTTGTTAATATCAAGTGAAGGTTGAGCTAATCTACCATTTTTAGGTTGGAATTTGTCATGGACTGATATCAGTTGGAAGAACATTGAAAAATCTGGAAGCACTGAACAGCTCTTTCGTCCAACTGTTATGGGACTCCAGCAGTGCGCATCCATGACCCCAACTCCCCGGGACCATCAAGTTCCGTGGCCAGCACATTACTATTGAGCCACTCGGTCGGAATCCAATAGTTCATATTGCCAACTTCTGTCAGTTCACGACATACTACGACCTACATCCAATGTCGTCATTGAGTAACTATCCTCATTTTTGACTTAGTTGATTGTACCGGTCATTGGTGACTAGCTTCGAGAGGTGGTTTCTTAAGTTCCAGTGAGAAGTCATCATCAGTTGAGTCAACCAAGTTGAACATGAGGACTGTTGCTCAACGACGAAGTTGGATGTGGGTCGTGCTATATCGTGAACTGACAAAAATAGGAAATATGGACCATTGGATTCCGACTTAGTGGCCTAATGGTAACGTGCTGGCCACGGAACCTGATGATCCTGGGTTCAATCGGTGGGGGCAGGGTGTCGTGGGAGCACTGTAATGAGGAGTCCCATACTAGTTGGACGAAATAGCTGTCCATTGCTCCGCGGTTTTCAATGTTCCTCCGACTTATGCAACCGCATGATGAATTCCAACTTAAAGTCAATTAATGTATCTCCACAAACCTCCAGATAGAGTTATTCTATCACTTGACTAACAGTCATTGCTAATTCTCATCACATCAAGTTAGTACTATGCATTCTCAGCATAAGATCTGAAGGTGATTGTTGTAAGGCCCCAGCTTTGTATAAAACATTGTTATTGGTCTGAGCATTTTAACGTGCCATTCCCATACCGTTTTTTACGGTATGACTAGTTTATTTTCTGTCCCCATTGTAATGTAATTCACTGATTAGTTAATCCTTACTCTAACTATGCCAATATCTCAAATTGCGGACAAGGTAATTTTTCATGTGTGTACATATTCAAGTGTTTGGGGATTGATTTATTATTATATTTTCGGAGTAATAAACTCTCCCATCATCCAACTTCGGTTTTCTTTCTATTCGTCCCGGGGCTGCAGTCAGTGGCTCTTGTGTACTAAGTTGGCTATCAGTTAAGCGTACGTATTCTATTGATTAGGAATATATATTACCGTTGTCGTACAAAAATATAACAGTGATGTTTTAAAAAAAGTGAGACTGTATGAACAAGTTGTAAAACGATACAAGGCAACTGTTATAAAACGCTATCTAGTTTCCTGTAAAATCTCTATTGATTGAAGATGAAAATTATTTGTAGGAATGGTTGTACTGGGTTAGAACATTTTGTCTACTTAGGAAATTGTATCAACCTAATTGAAGTGATGGATGATGATTGAAATTTATCAAATTGATCTGTTAGCATAACATCTGATTACGCCATGAGACATTTGTGTGTGTCTGTGTGCCCATTTATGATTACAGCAGCTGAGGATGGATTAATTTCAAAAAAAGGAACCACAAGTTTTCTTCTGTTTTCAGTGTTATTTGAAGTACTACGTATGGGTACTGGAACCAACATTTCGATAGTGGTATTATCAAACTTACAAAGATTTAAGAGATGAAACACAAGACGTTCAATGTGATGGTAAATCATCAGTGGTTAAGTAGTTTCGACCACACACTACTTATGATGAGATACCTGTGAGAAGCGAAAAGAGAGGCACACGCTAGCTGGACCGATGAAAAAACCCCAGGAGAAGATTTTCATCTCGCCAACCATAATGATTCATGTCTAATATCTTCTCGCACAAACTCGAAGATCTACAGGCGAAAACAAACAAGCTGACAGAAGAGGCACGTCAGAGAAGGAAGACAGGACTTCCTTCAGGTGGACGTAAAGAAGACAACAACAATAAGCACCAGTCACCATCAACGGGGAAAATCGAAAGGAAGTTGTCTCCTTCACCTACCTAGGCAAGACAGCATCGTTTCAACTACAGGCGGCAGAGGCACATATGAGCACGTCAAAGCCAGTATCAGCAAGACAGGCCCTCGTGCATTAATCTGAGATCAGCGTAGAGGCCTACTGCACTGCACCGCTCTCAGCATAAAGCGTGAACAACATCCGGATTTTCAACACCAGTGCCAGTCAAGTAAGTCAGTGCTTTCATGTGGTGGTTCACAGACTTGGCGCGTCACGAAAAGCATTTCCAACAAACTGCAGACATACATCAACAGCTGCCGCGTATGCTCAGTCGATACTGAAGATGGAGATCAGATGGTCAGAATGATAAGAATAAGCAACAATGAACTCACTCTGGCTAGCAACGAACCAACCAAGAACCCATCGCCCAACAAATATTCAGAAGAGAATGGTGGTTGGTTGAATTGGATCGGGCATGCACTGAGAAGACCATTTGGGGACATCGCGCGCCAGGTGAAGCCCTCGAGTGGAACCCAAGTTGGGAAGAGCGAGTTGGGCGTGCGAGGGTGACTGTAGGAGATGGTGTGGGGAAGAAATGTAAGCTTCTGAGCGGTCGTGGAGCCAGGTTAAGAAGATTGCAGAGAAAAGAGTGAAATGACGACGTGCTACAGAAGTCCTATGTTCACTAGGAACCCAAGGGGCAAATAATAATAACAATGAGTTACTGCTCATTTTGGTGTGCAATGAGAATTTGGAGTTATTTGAAGAAAAAAAATCAATCAATGATCAAAGTAGGATGGAATACTCAATCCATGAAGTCATTGAATGCTAATATCAATTATTTATGAAAGTACAAGTATCATAATTGGGCCTCTAGTTGTGACATTTGAAATTAGTTGTTCACTTTAGTTCATGTAGTTTCAATTATATCCTGACAGTGTGAAACTTGACTATCACCTTACTCTTTACTTATTCATCCTCATTTTGTTTATGTCCGAATTCTTTTCTTCTGTGTGTACTTCTTTATTTTCACTCTCTCTTGTCATTCAAGGGTATGATAAGTTGAACGAACACACTTTTAATACAACCTTCTTCGTTGTTCTGCCCTATCTAATTAAATCACTAGAAGACTATTCTTTTCTTATCCACAAGTTTTATCCGTACGATATTCAATCCTTAAATAACTCCATTCATAACCAGGTTGGAATGCAAATTCGTAGTTCGGTTTCAGATGGATTTAAAACCACTTTTTCTGATTTTGTAATTATTATTGCAAAAAAATTGAAACGTTTCGTTTTGCTTC